TCAGAGAAAGAGCAGATGAATATCTCAATAATTGGTACGAAAGAAGAAAAGAAAAAGAAAAAGAGGAAATTTGTCCTCACTATGAACATAATAAAGAAGTTTTAAAACTTAATAATAGACATAACAAACGAACTGACGAAATAGTTTTTAAACTACTTCAAGACCAAAAAGAAGAGAGAAGAGAAAGAAATGAAAGAGAAGAGAGAGAAAAACAAGAAAAAACAAAAGAAAAAAAAGAAAAAAGAAAAGAAAAACGTAAAACAGAATTTAATAGATTATTATTTATTCTTTTGTCATTTTTTATTTTTTGTGTATATAATATGAATATAGAAGGAACTGTTGCTTCTATCTTTGCAACTATTATCATGAAGTTTATTAAATATAATATGAATTAATAAAAATTCAAAATATCGATTTTTTTTTTTTTTGAAAATTCAAAGTAATATAATAAAAATTATATTTAATTTTATTTATTTATTGTAAAAGCTTATTACAGTAAAACATAGAAACTTAATAGTGGTTGGGATGGGTTCGTTTGTTATGACCAAGACTGCCACAAATGCTACATTTGTATCTCTTGTTATTAGAATCACGTTTGCGTTTATGATTTCCAACACTAATATGAGTACATTTGTTATAACTATACATATTCACATCAGCGGCAAAACAAACGGAACATCTTGTTTTTTTCTGTTTGAATTTTTTTTACCAAAACCCAAACTAACAAAAACAAAAAACAGAAAGATAATAAAAATCTTGTTCTTATTCATATCTGTGACAAAAATGTTAGTTTAAAAAATAATAATTGTAATTTTTAATAAATAATTAATAAATAATTACCTTATTTTTTTATTTATTATGTATTAAAAAAAAATGCGTACGTATCAAACATATTTATATATTTAAGGATTTTACCTAAAATGGACTAGATCGCACCTTGTATAGTATTGAAATAGATCACATGATTTATAATGAGTTATTTCAAAATGGGGTCATTTAAAGTCGTAAATTATTTTTTTTTATTTATTATTAAAAAAAAATGCGTACGTATCAAACATATTTATATATTTAGGGATTTTACCTAAAATGGATATAGATCGCCTTGTATGGTATTGAAATGGATCGCATAATTCTAGCTTTCATTTTAGGGATCATTTGGGCGTAATCAAAACGTATATAGTGAGATTGAAAAAATTGTTAACACCCCAAAAGTAGATATCTATATTAGAAATATCCAAATTTAGTATTTAATTAAATAAAATATGCAAGACCGTAAAAGCGTTTGCTCATTCACAACAAGAATGGTTGTAAATTATTATTAGTTTTTAGATTAAAAAACCATGATAATTAAATAAAATTGATTAGTTACAATTAAGGATGACACATAAATTTTTTATTTAAACCTTTAAAAATTTCAACATTACAAAACAAAAAAAAAGAAAAAAATAAAAAAAAAACAATCAAAACAAAAAAAATCGAGTAAGTAAATTAGCAACAAAGTTCAAACTCCTATAATAATTTTTTATTCTGTTTTTCTTTTTATTGTTAAATTGCAATTTTTTTTATGATTTTTTTTTAAATTTTAGGAATTATAATTACTAGAACTCTACCAAACTGTTGAAAATGGTTTATCAAAACCAAATAGACCTTAATTTGTCCTCTGTCCTTTACAAATTGAAAATTGAATCTTTACCTATTCCGAATCTGTTTCGGGCTCTTTTTTTGAACAATTCTGAAGAAGAATGTGAAGTACCAGAAGGTATCAAATGTAAAGACATAACAAACAACATTGAAATTGAAACGTTGCCTGACACCGAATATTTTTTGATTAATCACCCAAACAAATATAAATTTTATTATCATGATCAAAAAATCTGTACTATAAACCCCCTTTGAAACAATATAGTCTAAGAAATAAGACAAATTTCGAACTTTTTTATAGAATTTCCTTTTTTTATTTTTTAATTATAAGATAAGATAAATTGGCAAAATAAGTAAGTGCAAAATCTGAAAAAGAATCTTGTAATTTCTATATGAATATGAATATTATAATATGAATAAAAAATAAGTATTTGATTTGATATTTATGTATAAATTAAATTTTTTTATATTACATAATTTTTACTTTACACATATAAATAAAATATAACGTAATAAAACTATAAAAATAAGGTCGGATTGTCCTTCTGCTAAACAAACCTAAATTGAAAAATGATCAATGTACGTATCTTAATTTTTGTGGTTGTTAAATTAATTAACTTGCTAATTAAATTTTGATTACAGCTTCTGACTCATATACTAGAATTCTCTGACATCTACTTCACATGGCACGGCTACTACAAACTAATTGTTTGGGTATTTGAACAATGTCACAAAAATGTTTTCCTGACCATTATCGTTTTAT